CGTTGCCAGACTTTGAGAGTGTGGGTTTGAATCCCAAATGGGACTCAATCTTAAAAAAAAACATGTAAAAGGTATCGTAACCATGGTAAAGCTCTTGCTCTGTAATTTTATTATTATTATATGGGTATTTACATAGTGCCATAGTCCATCCCACATGCATGCCCAAAGAGCTTCACTCTTCACGTGTCAGTTTCAATCTTTTGGTCGTTCATGAGATTAACAATGATTAAGTTATAAATTAAATGAGACACACATCATAGGATGAGGTGTTGGACAACAACAACAAGCTATTTCCTGACTTGGATTATCTGTGTCAAAATAAGAAAAAAACATGACGTTCCATGGTGCTACCTTCACTTTTGAAGGTCAGTTTCACAGTCACTAATGACACAATGGAGACGTTATCTGTGACAACAAGATGACTGGTTGATAATATTGCGTTCATTTTTGTGTAAGCATTATATAAAAAAACATGATGCCATGAGCTAATTCATAAACACACTGACATATGATAATTGATAATACATTGTATGTCAAAACAAGAAGATTTTTTATCATGGTCAGTCAGAGACGTAAAGTATATGCAAGATGGCCTATCGTCTCTTGCACGCGAGACGGGTGCGCTCAGCAGTACTAAATGAAGCGCTTGACCCTAATTAATTCAATCACTGTGGAATCAACTTGATTGGGTGCGAACACGGTGTGGGGTGATTAAAGCGTCCCGTAAAATGCCCAGGCATGGTGGTTACTTGACAGTTGTGAATAAACACAAAGAAAGTAAACATAATTCAACACAATAACAAACAGGTATACGCTGGTGTGCCTCGAAAGCTGCATATATATTTTAATCTAATGACCTAATGAGCAACATGGCATTTGATGGTGCTACCTTCACTTTTGAAGGTCAGTTTCACAGTCACTAATGACACAATGGAGATGTTATCTGTGACAACATGATGACTGGTTGATAATATTGCGTTCATTTTTGTGTAACATTATTTAAAGAAAAGCGATGCCATGAGCTGTTTCATAAACACACTGACATATGATAATGACATTGTATGTCAAAACAAGAAGATTTTTATCATGGTCAGTCAGAGACGTAAAGTATATGCAAGATGGCCTATCGTCTCTTGCACGCGAGACGGGTGCGCTCAGCAGTACTAAATGAAGCGCTTGACCCTAATTAATTCAATCACTGTGGAATCAACTTGATTGGGTGCGAACACGGTGTGGGGTGATTAAAGCGTCCCGTAAAATGCCCAGGCATGGTGGTTACTTGACAGTTGTGAATAAACACAAAGAAAGTAAACATAATTCAACACAATAACAAACAGGTATACGCTGGTGTGCCTCGAAAGCTGCATATATTTTTAATCTACGACGAATGAGCTTTCAGAAAATACTAAATGTAAGTTTCTGATTAATATGCACATAGGTGAAATTCGCTTTTAAATATCGTCGAATTGTGCTTCAATTTGTGCATTTTTGTCAAAATGTGACTGTTTAATTCTCTCTTTTTACATTTTCATTCCTGTCATGCAATAACTTGAACATCTATCAATGACTGTAGCAAGGTTTGTTTAATTTTTTTCATAAATAACACATGTTTTCGTGTGACAGGAAGATTTTCCCTGTCTGTGATCAGGCAGTCACGTGAATGAGTGACCCCTTCTCAGGTAGGCACTGTCTCGCATAAACATTAAGTCCTCTACTGATGAAGTGGTCAACGATCAATGTTTGCTCACAATAATGTGTTCAACAATATGATATTTGATAATAATGTGTTCAGCAACATGCCATTTGATGGTAATGTGTTCAACAACATGGCATTTGATGGTAATGTGTTCAGCAACATGGCATTTGATGGTAATGTGTTCAACAACATGGCATTTGATAATAATGTGTTCAACAACAAGGCATTTGATAATAATGTGTTCAACAACATGGCATTTGATAATAATGTGTTCAACAACATGGCATTTGATGGTATATGTGTTCATCAGCATGGCATTTGATTGTAATGTGTTCAACAACATGGCATTTGATGGTAATGTGTTCAACAACATGCCATTTGATGGTAATGTGTTCAGCAACATGCCATTTGATGGTAATGTGTTCAGCAACATGCCATTTGATGGCAATGTGTTCAACAACATGGCATTTGATAATAGTGTTCAACAACATGGCATTTGATAATAATGTGTTCAACAACATGGCATTTGATGGTAATGTGTTCATCAGCATGGCATTTGATGGTAATGTGTTCAACAACATGGCATTTGATGGTAATGTGTTCAACAACATGCCATTTGATGGTAATGTGTTCAACAACATGGCATTTGATAATAGTGTTCAACAACATGGCATTTGATGGTAATATGTTCAGCAACATGCCATTTGATAATAATGTGTTCAACAACATGGCATTTGATAATAATGTGTTCAACAACATGGCATTTGATGGTAATGTGTTCATCAGCATGGCATTTGATGGTAATGTGTTCAACAACATGGCATTTGATGGTAATGTGTTCAACAACATGGCATTTGATGGTAATGTGTTCAACAACATGCCATTTGATGGTAATGTGTTCAACAACATGCCATTTGATGGTAATATGTTCAGCAACATGCCATTTGATAATAATGTGTTCAACAACATGGCATTTGATAATAATGTGTTCAACAACATGGCATTTGATAATAATGTGTTCAACAACATGGCATTTGATAATAATATGTTCAACAACATGGCATTTGATAATAATGTGTTCAACAACATGGCATTTGATGGTAATGTGTTCATCAGCATGGCATTTGATTGTAATGTGTTCAACAACATGGCATTTGATGGTAATGTGTTCAACAACATGCCATTTGATGGTAATGTGTTCAGCAACATGCCATTTGATGGTAATGTGTTCAGCAACATGCCATTTGATGGCAATGTGTTCAGCAACATGGCATTTGATAATAATGTGTTCAGCAACATGCCATTTGATGGTAATGTGTTCAGCAACATGCCATTTGATAATAATGTCTTTAACAACGTAGTGTTTGATCCTAATAATGAGATCAATGACAGTGTGATCATGATGTGTTCAATGATATGACATTGATGTTAAAAATTATGTTTTGTCATAAATGTGTATTAAAAAACAATCATTTTCATAAAAAAGTACTCAGTATAATTCTGATGATCATAATGCCCGAGTCATCAATATGTTTGATCAAAATGTCTCACCAATATGTTTGATCATAATGTCTCATCAATACATTTGATTACAATGTCTCACTAATATGTTTGATCACAATGTCTCACTAATGTGTTTGATCAAATGTCTCACTAATATATATAATCATGTTTCACTAATATGTTTGATCTTAATGTCTCACCAACATGTTTGATCATAATATCATGAATAAGTAGAACAGTATGATGTATGATAACATCTACAGCCATCAGGCCGAATCATGACATGTACAAAAATATGGAAAACAACACAATACAATACAATACAACAATCATCATGGTCATGTAATACATCAGAGGCTGATTAAAGAGATTCTAAAGAGAGGCTAATAATAATCAGATTCTGACTACAGCGTCCAGTGAGCAACTAGTCAGATGGATACTAACGCAATATAAATGAATTATTATTATCATCATTATAACATAGTGAGTCATGCTTGCTATTTCAGATCCTTCTCGTGGTAGTGTCAGATATTTTATGGGTGTTTCATTCAATGTCCAAACTCTTCAGGACAGGTCAAGCTCATGTAGATCATTTGTAGACAAATAATTAATACACTTGAAACAATTAGAAGTTTTAAATATTTTTTAGATAAGCAATTGAAATTTCAGTTTTAAATTACAAAAAAATATATGAATAAAATGCACATGAAAATGAAACAATTCTCAACAGTTGTGTGCTGTATCATATAGATACACAATTTTAATACAGAATTTCTAATCATTTCAGTTGGTCAAATGTATTGATTTTCCATTATATGAATCAAAGTGAGTATCATTTTCATAATTTTAGTCATGCCCCCAAGGCACATTAAGAAAACTTTATTCGTGCCATTCCAATATTATCCATGCCATGGTAAGCAAATTAAGCACTTTTTCTATCTCTGAATTCAGGACTGTTACTTCGAACATAGTTTCCTTTGAAATTTAAACAAATACAAATTTTTAAAGAAATCCTGATTAGTACGAGACACCTGGAAGGCTAATGCTCCAAGTCCATAAACGATCACAAAGTGATATTGAATGGTGTATGCTCCTGAAAGAAAACATAAATGGTGGAAGTTCACAGGCTGCTTCCACCTCACCATCCTCGATAATCTCCAGGGTATGCGTTCCGATAAACCTCCACTATACCCTGGATGCATCTATGGCTCGGCCCCATGATTTTATTACCTCCCTTGGCTGACTTTTTATCCAATCAGGTGTCTACGCTGGGAAGTTGAGCGTACCAATCACAACTCATTTTCGCTTCTTTTATCTAACCGATTAAACTTGGCAACATAATTGTTGCAGAGGTACTCTGAAAGAGGTAGAAAGAGTTCTTGCATATATTTTTAAAGTTTCAGACCTGTCAATTTGTCTGTATGATTTCCCCAAAAATCTGCGTCGCAATGCGAACAAACCTTTGCGGCTGCGACCGCTATCTTTGTTGACGCTGGTAAGCCCGGTTGTAACAGCGGCTTAGATGATTGGCTACTGTGAGAATGTGGAGCCAGCAATTGGGAAGTAATAAAATTATCGGGCCGAGCCATAGATGCATCAAGAGTATAGTGGAGAGAGATCGTAATGTATACCCTGGAGATTATCAAGGATGCCACCGTACAAACAAACCTGAAAACCAGATGACATGTTCATATGTTCATGATGAAGCGTGCATCTGGTCCATCCAATGTCGGAAGACCAGTTGAGGTTAGCAGCGATGTTTTGATTCGCTGGCATGAAGCAGAAAGTAAACTGTACTCACATGTTCAGCAAAGACGACAAGGGCCTCAAACTGTGGTGCGATGTCCGTGACGAAACCGGTGGCTTCCCAGAAGTCTGTTATCGCTCCTTCGTTGCCTGTGTAGAAGAAGATTGGCCCCACACCACGTTTCCACCATTTGTCTGAAAACGAAATATCAGGGTTCAAATTTCTTGTGCTGACAACATGGCTAAAATCAAAAGTGGTATGGAAAATATGTTCCTTATGGCTTGGTAGAGGGCACACAGGAATAAAAAGTCAACAGTAATAGCTCATGTAATGTTATTGTATGAAATCACAAAAAAACATGACAAAAACATTGAAAATGAGGAACATATAAACAGTTGCTCAATGCACAATATGATTCTGTAAAGATTAGTGGTGGTCCGATTAATTGAAATACTAGTAATCGAAGATTGGTCGCAGTGACTAAACAACCAAGCAATCAATCATAATTTCTCATAATCGAACACAAACAATTCTGGAACACTTGTCTTCATTAACAATATTTTTCACATGGTTGGTTTTGTCTGTTATATTTCGTAAGCACTACAAGCTCGTTTCAAGTCATGATTGAATTTATCTTAAAGATTCCAAGAAATTTATGTTCCTAACATGCTAGTCATCCTTCAAAGATATGAAATTTTGCCAAAAAACCCCAAAAGAACTACATGGTTTTTTTTCTTATTGTTATGTGCATTAACAAATTTCATAAATGACGCTAACCAATTATTTTCGATGATTGATCGGTAGTAATGAACCAATCATCAATTATGAGATTTTAACCAATTCCCAACACTTGTAAAGATACACAGGTAGACAAACACAATGTGCTACTTTGGGTATGCATCCTCCATGTTGTCATACTTTTGCCCCATAACTGTGGGGGGCGGTGGAGTAGCCTAGTGGTCAAAGCGTCCTCTTGTCACGCTGAAGACCCGGGTTCGATTCCCCAATGGGTACAATGTGTGAAACCCATTTTTGGGGCCCCCCACCATGATATTGCTGGAATATTTCTAAAACCAGCGTAAAATTAAACTCACTTACATAACTGTGATGTTTAATTTGGTAGTGCAACTCAGCAGCTCAAAACTAATAAAGTTATTTATTTTATACATTTGATAAAAAATGAAATCAGTGGTCATAAATTATAAAGGCAGGTAGACCTACTAAGGCTTGTGATTTAATAAATCAAGTCATGCAGGTCAGACCACTGTTTCAATTTCTTGGTTTAAAAAACTTGTGAAGACTTAGCGCTGGTAGTTGGAAAAAAGAGACATTTATGATTTAAGAATTGTTTTGCTTTTTAACAACTTATCTCAATATGTTGCATGTGCGACAGTTTTGATAAGCTTATATCTTTTTGGTTTTACAGGTCATAAGATTTATAGTATATGAATTATACAGTTGGAGAGTTGAGGAAAGAGAGTGACCTCCCTTTCATATTAGTTTAAATTAATAAGATTTTGACCAGTTATTGACTTTTTTTAAATCACTGACTAACTTCCTTTAATTTGAAATACATGATGCCATTTTAGAAAGTGGTCAAATGTAACCTATGTTATATTTGGGATTACACTTTCTTAGTAAAGTACTGATTCTTGTACTTTTGTTGAGTTGAGTCCCATCTGGGATTCAAACCCACACCCTCAGAGTCAGGCACCTAATCGCCAGCACATGTAGACAGACGCCTAGACCACTCAGCCACCGCGGCTTCCACAAAAAGTACTAGAATCTGTACTTTACTAAGAAAGTGTAATCCGAAATTTAACATACATTTCCTTTAATTTGTCCATTATCACATTTCATTTTTAACAATAGGTTTACATTCAAGGGATACCATCCCAAATTCACTATCAGTTTTTGAGCCAAATTAAAAAGATTTCTGCCTGTGACCACTATATCTTTTTTAATCATTATATGCCAAAGAATATATATGGTTTGAATAAAATGCCTAAACCTAACCCTCAAAATAATTCTAATACATGTATATAGAATACATTTCAAGCAGGGGTTAACCCGGGGCAAACTCCTACATTCGTCTGACAGCTCAATCAGATACCAGTTGCAGATATTGACTACACTTTATTTTCCAAGCTTAACAGAATCTCTGAGAGTTTAGATGCCACTGTTGCTCCATGTCAACAAATATGAATCACAGTGTTACAAATGTCAGGTGTCTACAAAACATGGAAAATTCATCAAGATAAATTGTGCTCACAGTCCTTGAACTGTATTATTTCCATTTCTGCCTAGCCCTTTCTTCACTGCTGATGCCATAAATCAAACAACTTTATACTTCTTCAGGTTCTGAATCTCCTATCTCTCTAGGGCTCCTTTTCAATTTAAATGAAATCTTTTGTTTCGGTCAAAATTGTATATACCAGTACTATGCACACTTTGCTAAGGATCAAATCACTGATTCAGCAGAAAACTATGATGTGGGGTCAAATTTGGTTTAAATAAGCTCATTGTAAGCATGGATCCTACATTCAGTATGTCACTGCATCTTGTGGATCCCATACCTGCTATTGACAGGTGTTGTGTACTTGTCAATGACCCGTTCCATGATTTGCAAATTGGTTGATTGGTGCCATGAAAACCATTTTTATGGTAACTCACGTATCAAGTGCATACAGTTAGCTTAAAGTTTCTGTTTGCCTAAAGAGGGGTTAACTGATGATATAATTATTCATGAAGTTTTAAATGGATACAATTTCAAATAATAAATCTCTGTTTAAGTAAAGATGCCAAATTTTCTGATCCTTAGCAAAGTGTGAGTAGTACATATTCAGAGACCAAGCATCTAAATCTGTTACATAATTCCATGAATGCCTAAGCAACACACCGAAAGAGATATAAATCATTAACTTGGCCTGGTCTTATCATGAATCGGTAAGTTGCTGTGATCGTGTTTCTACATAATCTGAGTCACAAGTTAAGGATTACAGAAATGTGATACCAATCTATCAATGTGAACTTAAGAAGCTGCCATCCATTCAGACTGATAACCCACCCAATACTGTTACCGTCTATACACTGTTTCCCTAAACCCTGAAAAGATGAAGGCCCTAAGGACCCAGAACCATAAAAAGTTGTGGGTCCTGATCAGAATGTGTAGGCCCTACATTTTAGGTGAGGTGAAATTGGGTTTAACGTCATGCTTGAGAATATTTCGCTCATATGACGACGTGCAGGCGTGTGTATGTGCGGCTGCTTGAACTAGCTTTGGCTTTAGCTAGTTTTTATAGTGCTAGCCCACTGAGATACCCCGCTGCAGTGAAGCATGAATACCCCACTCAGACACATTATACTGACTCCGAGCCGACCAGTCATTTTTGTACCGCTGGACCCATTAATGCCGAGCGCCAGGCAGGGACCAACAAGGTACCATATTTTAACGTCTTTTGGTATGACGCTGTCGGGGATTGAACCACTACACCATGGAGGTGGTCCCCTACATTTTAGCTACAATATAATAATTCCCAGCAAACAAAAAATGTGACGACAAACAAACTGAGTTTAAGAGTTTAATCTAACTCTTGTGACTGACTAGTCTTTGCAATGCATTCGGATAACTTGTTTGAGGTTAAAAGATCATATCTCAGTAATCTAAATTGCTTCTTTGAAAATGATAGTTGTTTCTCTTACAGACAACAGCTGCTGATTGAGATAAAAACTAGAAATTACTGAATGATATTTTCTGAAAAATAATACTCTTAGTTATTGAGCGATGAAAAAGCTGTCGGCCATAGAGACCCGCAGAAAACAAAAGCTGTGGGTCTAAGTGGTTTTCAGCCGGCTTTGGGCCTAAGGACCGATGTTAATTTCGAACGCTGCATCTATATGCCACAGCTTTTTCAAGTACCAAACAGTCATTTAATACTTATAACAAAAACATATACATACACTTTTGTTTCTGTAATATTTTAAATTCTGTGTATACTCATCTGAATTACTAATTCTTCACTAATAAACTCAGAACAATTTTGTCAACATTGAACCAGTCTGCATATGTAACTTAGCATATGTCAGTATATAGTAGGCCAGACAGCGTTTATGTAACTGACATAGATATATATGGTAGATATGTTTTATGTTATCAGTGGTAGAGATAGCAATGCAAGATTGAGACCAACCGTCTATGCTATTTTGTTACCAGGTAGTTTTATTACTCTGACGTCAAATCATAACCTGGCTTGGTTTCACAGCATGAAATAAATTTGTGCTTGACAATTTTGAGAATATATTTACATACAAATGTTACATGAATGTAATAAATTGATTTTTAGTTATATTTGTAATATTGGTAATTCACCATTACAATATTTTACTAAAATATCTCGTTCACATTAGTATGAAATGTAGAATCTGCTGTTTTACATTTTTTGCTCATGTTTAGCATATTTAATGTTATCTAAACGACTTAACATATCCTGCTAAAACTGTAAACAAGATCAAATGTATTGTCAGTGGCAAATGGAAATTGCTGTCCTTGAAAAAAGTCATGGACTAAACAATTAACCTGGCTACGAAACAACACAAGAGATATGAAACAATTAACTGGATGATTGATCCAAAAACTACCGGGGCTTGACTAGTTCATATGAATAAAGTCGTATTCCAGCCAAGGCCTACATCGAACACACCTTGGTATAGTGCAAAGTCGTCTAGTTATATGCTGGACTAGGGCTTGACCTGCTAGTGCCGCTACCTTGATCGAATTATCTAAGAATACATTTACGGCTGGTCTCGAATTTGATGGCAATATTATACACATTCATGTAACTGGGTATGGAACCATCCTGCAGATGGCATCCTTACCAGGTCAGTGTGCGGTTTTGTGACCTCTTTCGCACAGTTTTTGTCACACTACTTTGGGATCCATACCGGTACTTCAAATGACTTACCCTGAATGAGATATCTTTGCTGGAAAGTCTTATTGCCATAGCTGAGGTAGTTGAAGTGGTCTACGGTTTGGGTATAATACTTCTCGGTGTATGGCACACCCTGTCCATTCAAAATATCGACAGAAAACGTATAAACACACAGACAAAACACAAGCGAGACATAGGAAGTCGCCATTTTGAATGTCAGTTTGTCACATGACAACAATCACGTGACGCTTTTTTCATAATTATCTCCCCTACCCTAAATCGTCATTTCAGTGGACAGAACTGGAATTTATTGTTACATACTCTTTACAGTTAATAACTGTTATATTCGGAAAAGCTTGCAATGGACTTGGGTAAATATTAGTTTTAATCCCCGTCTTAGGCACGGATATTGTTCCCATCTTTATTTTCGACGCTAACAATGTGACGTCATAAATTGCCCTTTTGGCGAATAATCGATGGTTACGTCACTTGTTCATGATGTCACATATTTGAGCAAATACCTTAGTTATATCAAGGCATGTCAGCTTGACATGGGAGGAAAGTTGGAAGTGATGCAGGGCTTGCGGTGTTACGATTGGTTGCATGGTTGGTTGGTTTAACCAGGGAGACTATATAACGTTGTAGATTATCCCTGGTTTAACGCCGCACAGCAGTACTCCATCTATATGGCGGCGGTCTGTAAATAATCGAGTCTGGACCAGACAATCCAGGATCAACAGCTTGAACATCGATCTACGCAATTGGGATACGATGACACGTGTCAACCAAGTCAGCGAGCCTGACCACCCGATCCCGTTGTAATTAGTCTCCTCTTACGACAAGCATGGGTTGCTGAAGGTCAATTCTAACCCGGATCTTCACGAGTCTGTGGTGTTATGACTTCAGTGAAACTCATGAGTGTGGAAGGCAAATTTAAACTTATTCCAAGGGCGTGTATTCCAGTCAGTCAGTCATACATGTATTTAACATAAGTTGTACATAATAATGATGTATACATGTACCTCTAATGCCGCAGAACGGGGCCGGAACGTAAATTAAGTTCAGTTCAGTTGTGTATATATGCAAATCATAATGCGGAGAATGGCAGTGTTGAAGTCCCTAACGTACTCTAAGTGCTAATAAATACGTACACTGGTACCTACATGCGTTTGTAGACCTGTGTGTCAAGCTAATCATGGACAAACGGACTGCGCAGGTACGTGATTGAGTTGGGATTTACGCCGCTTTTATCAATATTCCAACAATATCACGGAGGGGGACACCAGAAATGGGCTTCACACATTGTACCCATGTGGGGAATCGAACCCGGGTCTTCGGCTTGACGAGCGAACGCTTCAACCACTAGGCTACCCCACCACCCCGCATGTACGTGTAAAACAGTCTCGGAGTGGGTGAGCGGTTTTGGTTCTACGCCGTTTTTAGCAATAATCCAGCAATTTTACGGAGGGCTATACATATTGTACCTATGTGGGGACTCAAACCCAGTACTTCGGCGGGACGAGCGAACGTATTAACCATTGGGCTGCCTCACTGCTCTTGGTCGTGTTGCACTTGAAATACATTTTCTCTCTCCTTTTCCTAATGTACGGTTAGGTATGAAACCAGTTACTCTAAATTTAAAATGGTTAGTAAAACCATGTCAAGCTAGCCCGGCTGGTTTGTACTGTTAATATTTCTTTCACACGGGGACTCAAATCTGGTCCAGACTCGATAATTTACAGACCACCGTTATATAACTGGAATATTGCAGAAAATATGATCAAATACAAACATACAAACAAACGTTTGGTAAGGCTTCATAACTTATGGGGCGGTGGGGTAGCCTAGTGGTTAAAGCGTTCGTCACGCCGAAGACTCGGGTTCGATTCCCCACATGGGTACAATGTGTGAAGCCCATTTCTGGTGTTCCCCGCCGTGATATTGCTGGAATATTGCTAAAAGCGGCGTAAAACAAAACTCACTCACTCATAACTTATGTCCCGTCCTGTATTACTTCTGACATTAACGGGGCGGTGGGGTAGCCTAGTGGTGAAAGCGTTCGATCGTCACGCCAAAGACTCGGGTTCGATTCCTGCTATGGGTACAATGTGTGAAGCCCATTTCGAGTGTCCAACAATGTGATATTGCTGGAATATTGCTTAAAGCCGCGTAAAACTAAACTCACTCGTGAACACTTTTTCAAATGGAGACTAGTCCCAAAGAAATGAAATTACCTTTCGAAAAGGAAAACGCGCGACCGTATTCACTGTTTGGTGTTGCATAAATTCTAAATTGTAAATGAAACTTTCAGTTTCTATTTTGTGATTACAAGAATCGAACATGCTACTTGGTAATCCCAAGTTTACGAAGTTTGTGAACGTCATTCGCACCAACAGCTTAATCAGAGTTACCTCCCTTGTACACATGTCCGCGTCATGGCTGCGATAACGAAGAGTTTGAGTTCTGTTAAAGGCAAGGTAGTACTTGTCACAGGTAATGACAATTATCATATACATTCTGCCGTCTAAAGATATCCATTACAGACCATTCTATGACTACGGGCGGCTTTTAGGCGCATTTACGCCCCAAGTCGCATTCAGCTCATCTCATGTGACCCACTGTGTTGTCGTATGGTCCATTCCATTCGTCACCACTCGCCCCTTTCCGTAACCTCCAAGAAGACGCTAACAATTTTTGTAATTTGTTGTATCAAAGGGATATAAACACGGAGTTGGACCTTCTTGTGGTCATTCATATATTTTCAAAATATTTCACGAATATGGTATGCATATTCAATAAAACAAAAAATTCTTTTCAAAAATAATCGTCGAAAGTAATTTGACAAACTGTCTTTAACAAATATGCATCGTTGTACCCAAGGAGGCTTCTACGTAATGACAAATAGCAACAATTCTTTTATAACCACAGTAGACAAAAGGGTGATATACAAGTATCTTCTTGTATATATGTCCAGCGTCATTCTTGAGGGGTCATGCAAACATATAATAAACGTAATACTATCAAAAAGCGTCGCATTTTCAACTTGTCAACTTATTTAGTCGACGTATCACTGATTTATGTTTAAAGCTAGTATATCACCATGGAGATATATTGCACTACGGAACAAGACATAAAACTGGGAAATAGACCCCAAGTTAAGCCACCGTAAAGTTGTATAACCGACTGACAACAAAAACTTTGTAATATTACACGCGAGATGTGGCTGTTGGGGTGAATTGCCTCCCTTGAATATACTACAGTCGATAAAACGAACACATGCATGTGGTCTCTGAACGAGAGTGAAATAGCGACGACCATAATAAGGATCATGGGGACTTACTATAATTCTTCTGCCTGCTGCCTTTCTACATCATTAACTAGGGCTGGTTATCGATATAGATAATAGAGATCGATAATCGTTAACTAAATATCGTTCGATTATCGATAAATATCGGAAACGTACCTTTGAGCATAAATGCAAAAACTATCTGAATGAAATGAATATATTACACACCTCTCGTGAGTGGTGACATGTTTTTGCATGGATTATTAACAAAACAGCGTCCTGAACATAATTTAGAAGCAGACCATGAACCAAGTATTTGTATGTTGTGTGAGAAAATTAAAAGCAATTTTTCTGTCACAAAAGTCAGTGTACGATATTATCGATAACTCACTTTTCATAGCGATAATCATCAATAATTTTTTCTATCAACGATATCCCGATTATCGATCGTTTTAGCCGGCCCTAGGATTTACATCATTCCTTTGACTGCTGGCGATTGTTGGCAAGCTTAGTCTACTAATAAAGTCTACAAATATACCTCTTACAACTGTGTCAAAGTAAAACCTTGGCCCCCGATCTGTGCCTTTGTCAGCATTTTGCCGTTGTGTCGAAACTTGGTTAACTCGAAGTATTTACGTAGGTCCTTTCAATTTCGCTACAACGATGCTTGACAATATTGGAACACATGACCCTCTTTTGGGGACAGGGGCGGTAGGGGTAGCCTAGTGGTTAAAGCGTTCGCTAACCACGCCTAAGACCCGGGTTCGATTCCCAATGTGTGCAATGCGTGAAGCCCATTTCTGGTGTCCCCTGTCGTGCTGTTGCTGGAATATTGCTAAAAGCGGCGTTAAACCAAACTCACTCCCCACTCACTCACGCGTGGGGACAGTTCAAGACAAGGTCACAAGACAATGTATTATAATGATTTTCCCTTTGGAAGTATATCTCTTAGAACGTAAGGGGTGATAAATATGTGTATGTATGACGTAATACAAAGTATGTTCTGTTTTTCACAGGAGCGAGTTCTGGCATTGGTGCGGGGACAGCATTACTTCTGGCAGACTACGGAGCTAGGTTGTCTATCACGGGGCGTAACCATGACAACCTACAGAAAGTAGCCAGTCAGTGCTACGAACGAGGCCTTGGTAAAGACGATGTTAGTGATCTTTATTATATATACTGTTAGTGATGTTAGTGATATTTATTATATATACTGTTAGTGATGTTAGTGATATTTATTATATATACTGTTAGTGATGTTAGTGATATTTATTATATATACTGTTAGTGATGTTAGTGATATTTATTATATATACTGTTAGTGATATTTATTAGTGATGTTAGTGATATGATATTTATTATATATACTGTTAGTGATGTTAGTGATATTTATTATATAGATGTTAGTGATATTTATTATATATACTGTTAGTGATATTTATTATATATTGATGAAATGTTTGTTTGTTGTTTAACGCCGCAATCAGTAATAGCCCAGCTGTGTGACGTCAGTTTATAAATAAAAGACCGGACGATCCTGTGATTTACATATTAATGAGCATCGATCTGGGATACCATGACACAAACCAACACCAAACAGGAACCTATTATGTAACATTGCATTGTTTGTTCACTATGCCTTGTTTGAAAGAAAGCTCACCACCCACTCACTCACTCACTCACTGGAACCCTTGTAAGTAGTGTATAATGGGCTTACAGACTGCAGTTCAGAGTGAGTGAGTATGGTTTTACACCGATTTTAGCAATATTCCAGCAATATCACGCCTGGGGACACCAGATATGGGCTTCACACGTGGTACCCATGTGGAGAATCGAACCCGGGTCTTCTCTGTGACGAGCGAACGCTTTATCCACTGGGCTACCCCACCGTCACCCTGCAGTCCAGGGCCTAGATTTTCGAGGTCGTAAGTTAATGTTAATGTATGGCACTTACGACTATCTTAGCGCTACGAGAACTTCGAAAATCTAGGCCCTGAGAAATAAAATATTAACACATACACGATATATATATCAACCAAGTCATTGAGTCTGACCATCCGATCTAGTTTGCAGATTCTTACGACAAACATGCGTTGTTGAAGACCAGGCTAGCTATTTTCGAAACGTTCGTAGCCCTACGAACTTCTTAAGCCCATTCTTAACACATTGGCTACGATCAAAGTTAAGAATTCTTAGGGTTACGAACGTTTCGAGAATAAGGCCCCAGGGCCTAGAATTTCGAAGCTCTCTTAGCACTAAGATAGTCGTAAGTGCCATAAATTAACATAGACTTACGACTATCTTAGCTCTAAGAGATCTTCGAAAATCTAGGCCCAGTTCTAACCCTGCTCTTCATGTGATTGTTAAACTGTGTTATTCAGTTGTATATTTGTATTTAAGGTTTTGACCACCATATGTGACCTGACCAAAGATGGAAGTAATGAGCTCCTGGTGGACGCAACACTGAAGCACTTCGGACAGCTGGACTGTCTGGTAAATATACACATCGTATATGTGATTAATATGTATCGGTGCTTACACTGTCCGGCGACCCGTGAACTCACTCACTCACTCACTGTCCGGCGAGTTTGTTCCGATTAACAACCCTGTGGAGTTTTGATGAACATAAAGAATTTTCAGGATTTCGTCTTCTTTTAATCTTTGTTTCGGGGACTGTTCCGGACCCATCATTAGTTTTACCTGATCATGGGACCGAAACAGGCCCTGAAACGTTGTATCAAAGAATAAAAGAAGATGAAATCCTGAAAATCCCTTATGTTCATCAAATTGCATCTTCTAAAATGCCAATCAAGCACCTGTGCAGTGTTGCATTGTAATATTCTTTTACGGATGGTCGCGTATAGAACAACGTTTAACATGCTCGACATATTTAGCACATATCACCTGACATATTTTTCTGTTTATTCTTGACATGGCATTTCATTTTCGGAAGGGAAAGCCTCGATGGCCTAGTGAGCGAGTTTAGTTTTACGCCAAAGTTCTATCAGCAAGCGTCCAGCTGCATGGCGGTGGTCTTTAAATGTGAATCTGGACCAGGAAATCCAGTGATTAACAGCGTTGATCTACGCAATTGGGATACGATGACGTGAGCCTAATCACCGATCCCGAACCTCTTGTGACAAGCATGGGTTACTGAAGATCACGTCTAACCTGGATCTTCACGGGTCCGATGGTCTGGTAAATAGATCGTCGGCGTGGAGAGCGGATGGTCGTTGGTTCGAACCTCGATCGCGTCATACCCAACTAGTTAAAAGAGATGTTATCCTTTAGCTCGGTATTAAAGGGACAAAACAAACGCACACGCACGCGCACACACACGTGAATGCACGTCGCTATATAAGTGAACAAATCATGAACGCGTCCTTTATCCAAATTTTCTTCATGAAGTTTATTAGAGCGCGCGTTTTTCTGCTTTACAGGAAGCTGGCTTATAGATAGAATGCCCCTTGGCCACGTTGAACAAACAGACAGTCATACAGACATACATACAAATAACTCTAAATTTACAAGTACGGTGTGCTAGGCTGGTGGTTAAAGCCCCGGGATCGATTCCCCACATGGGTACAAAGTGCGAAGCCCATTTCCAGTGTCTCCCCTCCGTGATATTGCTAAAGGAGGCTTAAAACTAAACACACTTTCCACTTTAGTCGTTCTAAGTAACGTAGAGTGTCTTACTTTGGGGCTTTAGTCCCATCCTGGATTCGAACCCATTCTTTCAGAGTCTAACACTCTGGTTGCCAGTAAAAGCTAGAATAGAGTTCAAGCTTCTCTGTATCACATATCGATGCCTCCATAACACCAGCCCTGACTATCTATCTGAACTCTTGACTCCACACACTCCAGCACGTAAACTCCGATCAAGTGACCAAAATCTCCTCCAAGTTCCTAAATATCGACTGAAGACATTTGGCTCCAGATCCTTCTCCAGCACTGCCCCTATCCTCTGGAACTCACTTCCATCAGAGTTGAAACTGTGTCCAACCTTTGAGAAATTCAAATCAAGACTAAAGACCCATATGTTCTCCAAGTATCACAGTGACATTTACATCCACTCAACACTCCCTGACTTTTATCTTTATACATTCCCATTGTAGCGCCTTGAACAGGCATATCTGTTGCGCGCATTATAAATGCACATTTATTATTATTAACACACTCAGACATCGAGGCTTTCACGAAATGCACT